GGGTGGGTGTATGCTGATATATTTAAATAAATAATACACCTTTGCACCAAATGCATTTCTCTTCTGTAGATGAATGCATTTGCCTCATGCTTTTCCTGTAATTTAGTGAAACACAAATCAAATGTACTTTCTGAAAAATTATTAAAATTAGGGCAAATCTCTAATTCCAACAAATGGCAATTGCTTTTCTGAATAGGTAAAACAGGGGGCTAGTACAGGTTAGCAGCATAATGGCTGAATATGGGTTAAAAAGCACATAATTAAACAAAAAGCATGGGAAACTGGGGCTAGTCATCCCACAGGTGGTCAGCCTAATGTCCTGCATTTTACATGTTCAAAACATCAATTGCCATTTGTTGCAATTATAGTATATAATATATAGGTAACACTTTATTTGAAGGGGTGTGCATAAGACTGACATAACACTGTCATAAACATGACATAACACCTGTCATGAACATGAAGGAGTCTTTATGAATGTTTATGACTGTTGTCATTAAGTGTCATTCGGTAAATTAATGACACTTTTAATGCAAAGTTGACATTTTTAAAATATCTTTGTTATGACAACTTGACATTAACCAAAACAAAAATTTGTTTTGATTGACAACTTGACATTAACAAAGACAAAAATGTCTTTGTTATGACAACTTGACATTAACCAAGAAATCCTAACTAGTCCAACGTGTTCCACTTTACTTGAGGTAAGAGGAAATATTAATGACACTGTTGTTAAAGCATTTGACAGTGTAATAACCCTTAATGACATCTTTATAACTAGTGCAATGTGTTCCACTTTACTTGCGGACAAGTAAAATATTCATGTCACAGTTATAATGGTGTCATGACAACCAGAGTTAAAACCAACCATAAAATATGACAGGGCACTTTAATGTTAACACAAAGCTAAATAACTTCTTTAAGTTTGATAATTAGATCTGTTATTACATATTTGTGACAGGTTGACAGATTATGATTTCTTGGTTAATGTCAAGTTGTCATAACAAAGTCATTTTAAACAATGTCAACTTTGCATTAAAAGTGTCATAATTTACCGAATTAGACTTAATGACAACAGTCATAAACATTCATAAAGACTCCTTCATGTTCGTGACAGGTGTTATGTCATGTTTATGACAGTGTCATGTCAGTCTTATGCACATCCTTTCAAATAAAGTGTTACCAATATATTATTTCGGTCGTATTTCTTTTTAGCAAAAACAACAGTTTAAAATATATTTGTACGTTGTATTGTGTTTCATTTCATCTTACCGTTTAATTGGACTAAAAAGTCTATAATAGGCTATTTAACAGCAAGTTTCCTCATGTGGTGTGACAACATGTCCAAATTACACAATGGTGTGTTCAATGAACGGTTCTTTCTGGCACAATAATAATAACAAATCAAATAAAAAAATAAAAAAAGAAAGAAAAAAGTGTGCCTTGCCACTGATACTGCCTGACTCATTGTTTTGGCCATAAAAAAATAAATAAAAAAAAGCGGGTGAGGACAAAATTTTTTTTTTCTTTCTTAGAGAAGATTCTACAAACTCTTTGATTTATTGAAAACAACACGCCAAAGCCAAGGCTGCGGGGAAACAACAACACAAACGTCTCTATTCAAGCTGGCAGAGTTCCAGACCTTTTAAAGTGGTCCAATGCGAACTGAAAAAGTAGGAAAAGAAAAAAAATAAAAAGCCTCGTTTTGGCCCACAAGGCTTTCATGCTACCCTCCATCCATCAAATGATGGGAAAACGTCCAGCCGATTTCATCACGGCCTTATGAACATTTAAATGTTCCTGAGAAAGTTGGATTGTAACGCAGCTTTCCAACTCAAACCTCGGGTGATTCGCTTGCAGAAGTTTGGGGATGATCAGGACCCTCTACTTTTAAAAAGTACTTAGATAAGCACACAACTTCTTTATAAACCTACGAGTAGGCAGATGAGGAGAAGGCCAAACATTCTGAACTGAGAAAACGGTTTGTTCGTTTTAATTTATTGCCTGTGTGTATCATTCCGCCATAGAAAGAGTCAATCTCAGAGACCTTGACTTGAGGTTATGGAAAAAAATTCAGGGTTTTTGTTTGTTGCACTCAATAGATCTGCTATTTCAAGATGAATTGCAATGTTAGTGAGTCACATCACCTGAAATCAATTGCAAGGTCCCGCAATGACAATACAGACATGGCTGAAGCGAGAGAACCATTGAGAACCATTTAGAAAAAAGTGAGACCAATGAACTTTGATTCCTTTGAAAACACTTACAGTGGAGCCAGTGAATTCTGATTCTTGAACGGATGACTCTTATGATCTGGTTCTTTTAAGTGAATCAAATAAATACTGTGTAACTAGTGAAGCTCTTACGAAACAGTCCGTTTTAGAGAATTAAAAACATAAAGCTCAACCAGTGAAGTCCGATTCTCAAGGGAATGACTCTACAAGTTCTTTTGAGTACACAATATACTAAGAGATCATCAGAGCTGGTTCCTTTTAGTGAAAGTTAAACTTTTAGTGAATGTGAACCTTTTGCAATAATATGCAATTCTTCAACGTATTTCCTCACGATTCCTTATGATCACTCCATCATACTCTCCCTTTCTCTCATACACATTCACATATTTATACACTGATTATTTCCCTATACACATTCACACATTGTAGCTCTTGTGGGGGTGCATCTCAAAATGTTGGAATTAAACTGAAGTGTGGCTATAAAACCCACAAGAGCAATCAAACCGACACTCGTCACCTTTATACACACAATAACCAACAAAGCCCATCATGCAGTTCCCTATAAACGCGCAAGGGCTTTATGGGGAAGAAGGGATGGATAGGGAGGTGTTTGTGGGGGCAAGGCCACAATAACCTGCAAAAAAAGGACAAGGGAGGAGGTCAGGAGTAATCTCACAGAAGGCCAGGAAAGACAGGGCAGTCAAATGAGACGCCCATGCACTCTCTCTCTCTCTATCTCTCTCTCTCTGATACAGCGACAGCATCACCACAGGCCCTGTACAAGACGCTGAGAAGAGTCACGGCAGAATACTAGTGCCAACTTGTGGACCGCAGTCAGGGCTCGACCAGGAGGACAGCGTGAGCGGCGCTTGGGACATACGACAAAACGCATACGAATACGAAGGACCTAGATTCTATTTACACTCTGTAAAAATAGCAGCATTTTCTTTGCAATAAGTGTAAATATATATGCTATCTATACTTATAAATAGTGGCAGATACTATTTGTCGTACATTAAATGTTATGCAATAATAACACAGAGTGTAAATTACTATATTTATTAAAATAATTAAATGGATGGTGTCTTATTATCGATAAAGCCCTAAACTAAACGCCTTTAAACTAAAAGCCTTTCTGATCTGATATGTATGGAAGCTTGTTTCCGCCACCGGAAAAAAAAGTGTGTATATATATATATATATATATATGTATATAATTGCGACTTTTTATCTCACAATAGCGAGATATGAAGTCAGAATTCTAAAAATAAAGTCGTAATTGCAAGATATAAAGTCACAATTCTAAGAAATAAAGTCGCAATTGCGACATATAATGTAGCAATTATGACAAATAAAGTCGTAATTGCGAGATATAAAGTTGCAATTCTGAGAAATACAGTAGTCGCAATTTCGAGATATAAAGACAAGTCACAATTCTGAGAAATAAAGTCGCAATTGCGAGATATAAAGTTGCAATTATGACAAATAAAGTTACAATTGTGATATATAAAGTCACAATACTGAGAAATAAAATTGCAATTGCGAGATATAAATTTGCAGTTATGACAAATAAAGTCGCAATTGCGATATATAAAGTCACAATTCTGAGAAATAAAGTCGCAATTGCGAGATATAATGTTGCAATTATGACAAATAAAGTCGTAATTGCGAGATAAAAAAGTTGCAATTCTGAGAAATACACTAGTCGCAATTGCGAGATATGAAGTCACAATACTAAGAAATAAAATCGCAATTGCGAGATATAAATTTGCAGTTATGACAAATAAAGTCGCAATTCGGATATATAAAGTCATAATTCTGAGAAATATTTATCAGGCCAATTTTAAGGAACTTTTTTCTCCTCAGAATAGTTATAGCAATTGCGACTTTATATCAATCAATTCTGAATTTACATCTCGCAATTGTGAGAAATAAAGTCAGAATTGTGAGATAAAAAGTCAGAATTACCTTTTCTATTTTTCATTCTGTGGTAGAAACAAGCTTCCATATGGCGCTTTTCCACTGCATGGTACAGTACGGCTCGCTTTAAATGGTACTTGGTCTGTTGAGGTACCAAGCGTACGGTACCGGTACTAAAATGTGATGAGAAACACTGCAGATCACTGATTGGTCAGACAGAATTATCACTACCAGCGTCATTGTGTTTGCGACCAATAGACATCGACACACAAAAACCAAACCCGCTAGATTTAAATAGCCAGTAACCGCTGTTATCGATCAGTCTATAATCCCACCCTGCAGTGGAAAAGCAATCGAGCTAAAGCGAACCGAGCCGTGCTATACCGATCCGAGTCGTATCACGCAGTGGAAAAGCGAAGCCAGCCAAACTGTGCCGCGCCGAGCCGAACCGTACTGAGCCGTACCAGCAGTGGAAAAGTGCCAGATATGTGATGGGGAAAGGGAGTAGAGCGAGGAGCGAGTCCGGCAAAAGGCAGATTTGGACTCAAAACCTTGCGCCACGCACCTTAGCCTGACACTATTGCTCCTGCTGATGTGTCAGCGACTTCTGTAATTTATCAATGGGTGGAGTTAATATAAATAGCCTCTGCTATTTTTTTCTTACTTTAAATATTCAAGCACAAAAAGATGTGAAAGAGAACTCAATTCGCAACACAAATCCGAGGACATAGCCAACATAAATAACAACAGTTATTTTTCCAGAATCTTGAATCTCCTGATCTTGTAACATCTAAATGTTATAGAATATAAATTATGACATTATCAAACATACATTTGTGCTCTTACCTTGTTTAGATTGCTGGCTGTGATGATCCACACACACTGGGAGTTGCTCTCGTACTGAATGGGGAAGTTCGGTGAGGTGAAAGTCCCTGACGGACCTTGAAGATTTGATCCACAAGTTTTCACTGTTTAAAGGAAAAGACAGAGAACACTGAGAAAAACAATCAGGAATAAGCATGTGAAAGTCTCAGCTAATTGGTTTGAGCCGTGGTCAGCTGCCATTTAATGTTTTCTACTATTGATTTGATAATTAGAGAAAAAATAAAAATGAAGTGACCCCACCATCTCAAGGGATTGAGTTTCACTTAGCGCTCGAAATGTTTTTTGCTGGATTTGCATGGCTCATATTGGAATATAAGCCACAAGCCTCCACCAGTCATCCATGACCGTCTTAATTTGTCAACGATTAGCAATCCAATCAAATCCTCAGATGACTAACTTCATGCCGGCTAAACGAGTTAATTCGAAGCAGGCTTAGCCAAACACACTTGGGTCTGATTCGTCATCTTAATATAGAAATGTCAGTTATAATTTGCTAAGTAGACACGCTCTGGTGTTTCTCTCCCAAAGCCAGTGACAGTCATATCTTAAAAATTGACAACTACGGGTTTACGCCTTCTCAAATCCAGCCTCTTGTATTTTTGGCGCATTTATCATGGTTGGTGTCAAAGTGACAGGGCTTTGATGAAAAGACAAGGAGGCATTATCTCCAACGGCAGCAGGTTTCACTATCAGCTCCTGACATCTTGATTGCTTTTGAAAATGAATAACTCATTATCTCAGGCAAGCACTGGGAACCATGAGGCTCCTTCAGGCCCAAAAGCGCACTTTTCCCTCTGAAAGTCATGCTCTCGTCAAGGGGCTCCTAATTAGAGAAGTATCCTGTGACAAGCCCTCTCCAGTCTGGCATCCGGGATAAACTTTAACGTAACGTGATGAGGTGTTTGCGTGAAGGGAGGAATAGCCTACTGTGCAGTGTGTTTGTGCCATTGTTTATTAAAGCGGTCCTATTGTGCTTTTTCACATGTTCATCTTTCTTTAGTTTGTAATGTTTTTGTTTGAGCATGAAAAAGCTCTGCAAAGTTGCAAAACACAAAGTCCCTCCAGCGGGAGCAGGGGCGCAACTACCCAGTTTCAGAGGGGTATGCAGCAACAATTTTAGCGCCCCCACCCCCAGTGTGCTGTGTAATAAGTGAGTAGGAAGAAATGAGAGCTAACAGAAAAAAATAAGTGCAAAATTGTCGTTTATTAACACAATTAAACTATAGCTACTCCACCTTGATGAACCCCCCCTAAGAAAACTATAAGCTCCATTGGAACAGCAATACCAGTGTTTCTCACAGGATTTTAGGTAAAACTGTGGTAGGTGGACCTCTGTTTCTCTAGGGGGGTTCGGGGGCATGCTCCCCCGTCAGAAAATTTTGTGTTCTGTAATGTTAAATTCAGCAGTCTGGTGCACTTTGAGAGTTCAAAATTAAAAGCTCCAACCCATATTCAGGGTGCAAATTAAACAAAGAAAAATTTGAACCTCTTTTAGTAAGTGTCTGTCTACATTACACTACTACATAATAATAGTTATAATATTAATTCCATGATAGTAATAGCCATAAAGGCTATTGTAAAACAAATGCACAGAAAAATAAAGGAAACTTTCATAATTAGTTTTGCACTAATTTCTATACTTGATAAGCGCATAATGACATGTTTCATGGGCCAGTGTGTCAGAAAAAAAAACTAAAGCTGACTTTTTTTGACCAATGCATTACACCAGCACAGCGCCGCCAATTAAGGAAAAAACAAAACAAAAACAAACAACAAACAAATGTAGCCTATGAGTTTTGTGGGCCGTTAAGACAAATAAATTAAAAAAGGATGAAATGTATTGGCTGAAAAGCACGTCGGCCCAGCGGGAATCTCCCGGTAGTCCCGATGGCCACCGAGATATAGATAGCCTACATGCCTGGATGTCACATTTTAAATCCTACCTGTTGGCTTTCAGCAATGCATGCAGTTATTTAGCTGCTGTCGCATCAATTGACATGCCATCTCCTTTTCTCTCTTTCTTTTTCTATTTTTAGCCCCACAGCATTTTGTTTTATCCATCTTTTTCGACGACAACTCACTACTTGTACCTGCTCGCTCAGCGCTCACGGCGCCCCCGCCCGCTCGCGATATTACCCGCCCCCCTTCTCCATGAGGGCGCCTACTCTAGCCTGGCTGTTAGTCCTCTAAAATTTTATATAACATTGAAGGAATGCAGAAATTATTTAGAAACGGACAACGGCAGCTACATATAGAAATACAATATAGCATATATATAATTTTTTTTTTTTTTACCATCGCTTTGGCGCCCCCCATTGTGCTGCGCCCCTATGCGCCGCATATAGCGCATACCCACTTTTTGCGCCACTGAGCGGGAGTTATTCTCTATATCAGTGTCAGTGTTTCTGAACTCCCTTAAACGCCTCCATTGTAGTCTCGCGTTTCGAACATGTCACAATATTCCTCATTTAAATAATTCATACGCAAAATAAAAGGGGCGGGGCCTGGTTGAGTTAGTTAGTAGTGTGTTAAACTGGGGGTTATGGTAAGGGGTGGGACATTTCCCAAACACACTTGACCAATCACAACACAGCTGACCAATCAAAGCACAGTGTGCTTTTCAGAAGGAGGGGCTTCATAGAGAGGAGCTGCAGGAAAAATCCTGTGTTTTTAGAAATTCAATCATGAAAACCCAGATTTCACTTCGACAACGAGTGGTCCATCAAGTACCGAAAGTGTTCATCATACAAAATTGAATCTCAATGGCTTCATGCTCTCGACAGCCAATAATTCACGGCACTAAAAACATTGTGGTTGGCACAAATCATATCTATCCCTGCTGAAAGTGATCTCTTATTTAATGTAGTCTGACTCACATTCTCTCAAATATTTTCTCTGCCCAACTAAAAAAGAAGATGTGGTTAAAAAAACTGAACAGAATAATGCATAACATTATAATATCGTTTTTCTCACCACCCTTTCCCCCCCTAGATTTTTCTAGATCTTTTTCCTAGACCAAACAATTGTCTACTAAATACATTTTTTTTTAAAAAGGACTTGTTATATTATATTTTGCTGTTAAAAACTATGGCATGCAATAATTAAATTTGGTTCACAGTATTAATTGAATTAACATTGTTTTTCCCTGCTGTCAATGATTAGCAAAAATTATTTTGCAGCAAAGTGTGGTCTAGCAACTCTCCATAGACGTTTGAGCTAGAAAACCCCAACTCTGGTAGGGCCAATCACATCGTGTATAGAGTCGGAGGGCGGGCTTAACATAATGATGACAGAGTTGCGAAGGTCAGAGCAAGCTCGGACATATTCGGTTTGAAGTCGTTCATCCTCGGATGCGGCCGGCGCCGCGCGCGCTGTTATAATAAAGCTTTGGCGAAATGATCAACTTGTCATATTTGCCGCGCTCGTGCTGTCAAGTCGAGTATAAAGGCTTTACTCCATGTCAGAGCGCGCTCTGATCGGTATAGGTGCACGGACCTCTCCCGAATCATCTCCACCACCCCGAAGCACCACTACTCCGGCTCCGTTTCCCTCGTAAGCTGATATTAGTATTCAAACATTCTCTATGATATAATTTTTTAAATGACACACTGCCTCTTTCTCTCTCATACATATATTGGCTAGTTATAAACTCTTAGACTTTTTATGATTAGTGTTTTATTTTTAAAGTTTGTGGGTGGTGTAAAAAAAAAATCCCTTATTTTGGGGATGGATTCCGGGAAATCTCCCTTATTTTCAATGTTCAATGTTGACAGCTGGACTGGGTACGGTAAAAGTTTGCTTGCTCCGCTGAGTACGTCACTGTCTTTGTTGCTCTGATTGGCTTTAGCACTATCCAATTGCGTGCAGAGAGAATATGAAAGACAACCGTTTATCCCGCCCCTCGGATTGAGCCCAGTCAATGAAGAGTTTCCAGACCTAACATAAGCCCCTTTCACACAGAGATTCCAGAAAATACACAGATAATGTGACCCAGCATTTGTCCCGGGATTGTTTGATTTCGGTTCATTCACACTGCAAGTGATTTGCCGGGATCTGTGAGTGCGTTCACACACAATCCGTAAAAATCCCGGGAAGACACATGACGTCAGGATGAGACGTACAACGGACGCGTCGAAAACATGTACACGCGCAGGTGAACGATCTCAGCTTCAGTGTGGATAGTGAGGAGCTCCTGGTCTCTGCTTGCTTCGCTCCAGTTTGCAGGTATTTGTTCGTCCTTTCTTTGTTGATGACGAACACAAACTTTCTTCTAGAGCAACAGAGTCGCGCGATGGCACGAGCATCATCACTATGACACACCCCTTACGGTATTGGTCCTGGCTTTTGTTCACACAGCGCGCGTTCCGGGACTGATTCTGGCAATGTTACTAGGTCCCCAATCCGGGATCAATCCCAGAATCAATCCCAGGTCGTGTTTGCGTTCACACAGAAGGCGTTCTGGCAATTTCCCGGCAATTTCCTGGGATCAACTCGCTGTGTGAAAGGGGCTATATTGATGTAGGTCTAGCATGCCAGGCTAGTCAATGATCCCTCTCAGAAAACACTGTGAAGTACTGTAATGATGTTAAGAGGTTTGTTCTAGCAAGGGTTTACAATTACCTCTAATTTCACTTAATAAAAAATTCACCTGTTTAATCACTAATTTTTAAAATCCCCAAAATGAAAAGGAGTGGGAGGATTGTCAGGTGTCGGGTCCAATAAATAGATAAATGGAAATTTATGATTAACTCAACATACCCCTGGGGTGTCAAAAACAATATACTGTATATATATATATATATATATATATATATATATATATATATATATATGGATCTAGGCAATTTTCTGCATGATTCATTTCGCATCTTCTCAATTAGTCTGTGCAGCCTGTAGCTGCAGGAACAAACAGGCACCCAAGTGACATGAATGAAGTGATTAAGTCAAGAGATATATGTGTTAGAGATCTGCTGAGAGTCAAGCGTCACATGTGTGTGTGTGTGTGTGTGTGTGTGTGTGTGTGTATGTGAGAGATAAATATGGAGGAGTGGAAACCTGCATGAACGCACTTCTCACACTGAGT